GCAAGATCCTCAACATCCCCCAGATCACGAAACTCAGCGTGCAGTTCCTCAACGACCAGATCTCTGTGCAGAACTACAAGCAGATCTGCAAGATCGCCGCCCTCCACGGACTGGACGAGACCAAGAAGCTGGCCAACAAGTACCTGGTGGAGGACGTGCTCTTGCTGAACTTTGAGGAGATGTGTGCCATGCTGGACGCTCTGCCGCCTCCCGTGGAGTCAGAGCTGGCTCTCTTCCAGATGTCAGTCCTGTGGCTGGAGCACGACCGGGAGACTCGCATGCACTACGCTCCGGACCTCATGAAGAGGCTGCGCTTCGCCCTCATACCTGCCCCGGAGCTGGTGGAGAGGGTGCAGTCGGTTGACTTCATGAGGAGCGACCCCGTGTGCCAGAAACTCCTCCTGGACGCCATGAACTACCACCTGATGCCCTTCAGACAACACTGCAGGCAGACTATGGCCAGCAGGTAAGAAAAGGACAAACAAAAACACACTCTAGAGGTGTATGAAAAGATGTGTACTATTATTTATTATCTCCCTCCTACTGAATTCAGACAAACCGCATTTCTCTTTCTCCGTCTCTCACCCAGTCCCAGTTTGATTTTACTGACAGTGGTGGTGGTCAGTCACAGGTGGGACCCAGTTTAAGGCCCACACAGGTCATTAAAATAGGTCGCGTGTGTGTGCACTAGAGTGGGGGGTGGCCAGGAGGGTTAATCCAAGCTTTGTTTCACTGTATCCATAATTACAAGATTACCTTATGTTTTACTGAAGGAAAAAAAGTCTTTTATTTCCACACACATCTGTGTAATTGCTCTCTAATCAGTGTAGACAAGACGCAGTAAAGTAGATTATGCAGGTTGTGCATTTGATTTGTGGCAGCCTTCGTGAATTAGATTTGAAACAATATAATTAAATTGTGTGCAGAATTATATGGTAATTACCTAGCAGTTCTGATGTTAGCGTGACACCCTGCCTGTTGCTGACGTCCTAATAAAGAGAAGTGTTTTTCAGCAAATGGAAATCTGGTGCATTTCCGTCTCGATTATATTTAAAAGAGCGAGGCATTTATTTCAATTGAGGGAAAATCAGGCGGTGCTTATTTCAAGAGCAAATGGTTTCTCTGATGTTGATGTTTTTTTTTTCTGATTTCCACTTTTGGGGACTCACACAGTACGTGTGGTCAGGAAGTTGAGCATTTGACAGCTCGATGCAGATTGGTGCTGAAGTGTGAAAATGTTTTGGATTAATTAGAAAAATAGTGTTTAGACATTTGAAATGGACGCTTTGGGGAATTGGAATTGAAATTGTGCAGAATACAAATCAACGCTGAATATTTTTGGCACCTATTCCCCTAAATACTCACAATAATGTATCTATTCCAACATGTGGAACCAAATGAGCACGGAATCAGGAATCCTCATAATTAGTTTCACATGCCACTGTTTCGCTCCTCTCAATTAATCACTATTATCTATGTCCAGAGGCTCATTTGCATACGAATAACCCCCAAACACTTCGGAGTGGGCCAGTAGCAGAGAGAACGCACTGACACAATGGTTATTTAGTCATGCGTTAAAAAGTAAAATATGTAGAAAAAAGAGAGAGAAAACAAGGGTGCAGCAAAAATAAAGGCCAGCTCGTCTTAATCTTTTTTACACTATATTGTGATTAATTGGAAGACTTGTGTTGAAATCCATTAGGAGCCAGATAATGGTCATTAATGCGGAATAAAGTGTGCAGCATTGTGGTTGTACATCATACACAAACAGCAGGAAATATCCTGGCGACTGGCTCAGGGATGTCACATGAATCAGCGTAGCCAATGAAATGGAGACATCATATAGGCAGGTTTATGTACTCAATTGTGCTTTTAGCCTCCAGCATGGCACCCTGCAGGATCGTCCTCACTTCACAGCTAATTGAAAAGATATCTTTAGAGTACAATAACCATCCAATGACACATCAAAAGGCGCAGAACATGTTTTTTCTGCTTAATTATAATCAACAAGGCCACACATTGCCTAATATCACGGACTGAACTTCTGTCTGTGCTGTCATCGTACAATATGGAAACTTCTGTCTGTGCTGTCATCGTACAAGGGTTAGGTATTCAATTTATGAATGCAATTTATTTATTTTTTTGGCAAAGTAAAAACTTATATAACTAGTCTCAGCTGTTTATACATCTCAGCTTTTTTTGGCCTTGATTGTTTGCTTGCAAAACATGAATAGTTTTGCAAGGTGCGTCCTAAAAACTGTGTATATAAAAATATAAAATATAGTAGATAAAAGTTATACTAAAAAGGTTCTGTGGCTCATAAAGAGAGTTCTTCAGTGATACAATTTTGATGGAATTGACTTAACACGTACACGATGCACCTGATTACTTTCAAAACTTTTTTTTTTTAAGCGTAAATCATTTCTGTTTGAAAGCAGAACCAACCGCTCATTATGTCAGAATAAACAACAAATTGCTGCTGGAGTCAGGTTCAGGAAGACTTGGTGCACTCCTACGGTTTTGTTCACCTGTTTCCTAAGACTTTGCCACTTTTGTCATTACAGAATCCGTTCCAATAAGCGAATGCTGTTACTGGTGGGTGGTTTGCCCCCTGGACCTGATCGTCTCCCCAGCAATTTGGTCCAGTACTATGACGATGACAAAAAGACATGGAAGATCCTCACGAGTAAGTTCCAGAAGCTGTGCACCTCCAAGTTTTTATTTTGTTTTTTTTTTAACCCGGGGCTTTATGTGTTAGTGATTTTCATGATAAGAAATAGTTGTTCCTGTGGATGACTTTAACACAGGTTAATTTCCACTGAAAATAAGGGGAAGGAGTTCCCTAAATCCTCCAGGTAATAATGTATCACTATCACTTTTAATATAAGTTTTGAATCAGAGCGTGACTTTACAGCACTGTAGAGCTTCATGCCCGGTTTCCTTTGTTTTTGCTGAAATATGCCGACAGGATGCATGATGAGATTTACTTGAGTCTAATGATCTACAGAGACAGAGCTTCAGAATAATGAATGACATCGTCACACGGCAGCATTGGAAATGTAACTGGATTATTTCTCCGGTCCCATTGATCAGTGCGTAGGCATCAATATTAATGTCCATCAATACTGATGCTCATCCTGATGTTAACCTGTTGACCTGGTGTCACTATTGATAACAGGTTTGTATCAAGTAGAGCAAATGTCAACAGATAAGGTCAGGGCGGGGGTTTATCTAAACAATCAATACATGCCTCTAATGGACTAAACTAAAATAATAACCACAATAAAAGAAAACAAAGACATATCCCATTGTCTGTCGGGATTCATGTCATGACACAGTCGCTGGTATTGATTTCACAGTGCCATAATGAATAAAAGTTGGCACCGTTTCCCAACAAATTAACAAATTTGTGCGGGAAAAATATGGTCTTTTTACGGGAATGCACCACAGATATTTTAAAATGCTCCCACTCTGCACACGTTTGTAAAGCAGCTTATGGCTTTTTCTCTCGATTTTTTTTCCTCTGTCTTCTCTGACCTTTGAGGCTCAACACGACACTACATTGTTGCCATATTGCAAAAGGTCACGCAGGAGCTAATGGGACGCCGTTTTAGTCCTTTGCGTCATCATGGCTGGACATATTGAGTTTTTGTCATTTTGTTACGGACACAGTCATATCTCAGCTGCCGGCGTCCATTCGTACACATTAGCCACATGTGAGGCCTGTTTCCCAGAGTAGTTTCTATTTTGACTTTTTGCTCTAACACTAGTTCTACCTTTCTGTCTTTGGACATGATGTCCCTGTGTGCTATTTTTTAGTTTTGTCAAAAATCGTCAGAGGTGCAGTCCGCCAAAGGAGGCATGAAGACACAACATGCCTGCAGCCCATTTGTGTTTATATTGACGTCTTCTCATTGAAGTCACACTGGGGTGTAAACTGCAGCAGGCAAAAGGTCAACAGGGATTTCCATCACTCAAAACTAAAAAAGTTAACACTTAAATGGTCCGTGGCCAAGTGGAAGGACAAAACTGCAAAATCATCCCTTAACACATCAGTGGTCATTTGATGTAGCCTCCACACAATGGATGTGGAATAGAAGATTATTAACATTCAATCATAACTTTTCAATGAGGCGAAACCTGAGAGGGACAGCCTTTGATTAAGACATTCATCAAGACAATTTTTAGGAAGAGTCTGATCCCTCTCATTGTGTCAGATGGAGGTTTTCTGCTACTGCTGCTGCTGGATGATTCTAGTGTAAAGTTTGCCATCTAGTGTACCCACAGCAGCGTGGACAGGCACAAGACAAAGGCAGGCACCGGCTCTGCCTCAGTGCTGGGCTGCCCCCCCGCCTTCTCCTTTAAACCAACCTGATATTAAAACGTCACACTCGGAAACGGACATCATTCACGCAGCGTGGCCCAGAACAAAGGAATGAAGCTCAGTGGGATGCAATTGTAATGGTGTTAAAAGCACGTCGCAGCTCCAGCAGCAGTGGTGCATTAGCTGAGGAGTCATTCAACCGAGCCCGAATGTGCCTCTATGCAGAGGTTTCTGACTCCCTCTAGTGAGCCCTACAGCTCACTGTAGACTGGAGTGATGTGGCGTCCATGTCGTGGAGAATGTGCTCGCGGTGCCCTCCTGTCGCTCCTCACCTCCTGGGGTCGGTCGAAGGGCTTTTGAATCCGGCAGTACAAACTGGTGTCACAGTCTTCCTAAGATGTCAATTCAATTAAAGTCGTGTTTTGTTGACACGCCATCGATGGCACCTGTAGAAATGCATCAAATCTCCAAGTGCTGCTCCTCTCACTGTAGTCTGTGACACAGTGTAACGCTTTAATCTTCTTTTCACACGATTTTCAAAACGATTTTTTAGTAGAGGGAAAGTCAGTAGACGTCAAATAAAGAGCCACCGGGCCGTGTCCTATATACTGCTGACTGCACGATAATGTAAATAGCATGTAAGAGAATTTGGCAGTCGTATGGCACTTGTCTTTGAGGTGCACTGGAGGCGAGCGATCCTAATCCTCTCATTCAAGATAAATCTGTGTTTAGTGTACGTAGTATTAGTTCCCCCATCTGATACTCCCCTCCTGTGGAGAGGTGCGGCACACGTCAAGCCCCGCCAGAGTGAGATCGCAGGGAGGGTCCAATAGGAAAGAAATGAGATTCAAGGCTGTCTAATTTTGCTGCAACTGTGATCCATCAGGCGGTGGAGAGGTGACAGTGGAAATGACTGATGGAGACAGACAGGTGGGCTTTAACATTTCACTGATTTGTGCTCAGAAAGCAACGGGCCTGAGATTTATTGAGTGAACACGATCATGTTCATTATGACTGTCACCTACGACCTTTTCTCTACGTCTCAATGGGGTCTCTCCGGCGAAAAAAGATGGCGGCGCACAAGGGGTGGCACATAAACATACACCCGGGGGGGGTGGGGGAGGAATACTACTACCCTAATGTGTACTGTATGTATACGTACACACCAACAGATAATATGATAATAGTGTGTAATTTACACATCAGCAATTGGCTTTTTGTGCTTTTAGCTGCTTCAGGTATAATGTTCTACTACCGTACATGTTGTTGACATGTTTTCTGATTGAAATCTGTTTACATATATTTAATTTTTACACTTTACTTTGTAGTAATTTCTCTGCTGTTTTTGTAATGTTTTTTTTACTTGTTGGGGCTAAATGTGCTTACCTCAAGGTTACTAACTTTTCTTGTTGATACACACGGTCGGTTAGTTGAATAACTCACCAATAAACTTACTTAAGCCACAAATGTGGGTTTAACAAGTTAAAATTAAATGATTTACATGCAATTTAAATCTTATTTATCACAGGAAGAACAGTGGGACAGAGCTGATCTAATGGGACTCTGATTAGGGCGGAGATCTACTGTTTGCCAGTGTCTTAGCGTTGACAAAGTTATAGAACAAAATTCATTGACAACGTTGTTAGTTTAATGCAGATGTAACTTTTCCCATCAGACTTCCATTCAGTCGCCAGTTTATTTGGTACATTTAGCCGCCGCGTCGTAAATCATCCTTCATAAAGGCTTTAATGTTCACTTTTTATTGCACCTGTTTAAGAGGTGCTCGCTCGGCTGCGTGATCATTCTGCAGGAAGTAGTTTGTGATGCTTCTGAACTGTACTGCATTATCTGAAGGCGTGTCTGTTTTTTCAGCCTATTTCCAGCCTTTAGGTCTTTGATGAAACTGTATTGACAAACGTAGGGAAGCATCTGTTCTCTAATACTAACGTCTAAAGTAAAAACCTTAGAACATTATAATAATAATAATAATAATAGTGACAGCTTTTCAAAAATAGTTCAAATAGAAATTGAACACAGCACTATATTTATTTATCTTCTGTGTCTTAATCATCATTTGGGTCGTGTCCCTGTCGCCCTTCATACGTCCCTCCGTATCTCTGTCGTGTGTCCCTGCCGCCCCTCATCTCTGTGGCCCACATTTCTGATTTAATTTACAAACATTTAGTTAAATCCGTCCCACTTCATACGTCCCTCCGTATCTCTGTCGTTTTGTGAGACATTTGTCTTTTTTGTCTCCTCCAGTAATGCCTTACAACAGTGCCCATCACTGTGTGGTGGAGGTGGAGAACTTCCTGCTGCTGCTGGGCGGAGAGGATCAGTGGAATCCCAACGGTACTGTAACACCACAGAACGAATGTCTTGGTTTCCAGTGATTTCACACAGTGAAACTGCCGTTGTTTACTTCATGTAGAAAGGCCTCTGAACCACAGCGTCTAACCCATCGCAGATAATGTTGCACTTTCCAATAGTGTAAAACACTCATCCTGGAACCAGAGCAGCTCTGAGTGGATACACAACACTCCAGTCGATGCTCGTCCGTAATTGGCACGGAACAAACAACTGTTATTAAGTTGTGGTTTGGATGTGTTGAGAGCTCTTTTTGTGAAATGGAAGTACTACAGTACACTGCATGGTAGTGTGTGTACTGTAAGACCGCCGAGTACAAACGCACAGCAGCAGAGCTTTGTTACGTTTAGCAACACAGCAACTGCATCATTACCTCCAGTGCAGTACAGTTGCTCAGGACGGTTCAGTCACCGACTGGTCAGCATGTGGAAAAAACAATCTTCAGTTTCCAAAAGGTTTTGGTGAAAAAAGTACTTGATATTTACCACAGGGATTAAAGCACCCGTATGAAGGAGGTGAATATTTTTCACTAAAGATCCTGCACAGACACAAACGTTGTAGTAATTTGTTGTTAAAAAGAGTATCTTGATTATATCACACAATCATTGACGAGGTTGATCAATACTGAATTCTGTTCTGCCTTTGCAGGAAAGCACAGCACCAACTTCGTCAGCCGCTATGATCCCAGATTCAACAGTTGGATACAGTTGCCTCCCATGCAGGAGAGGTACGCATCTTTGTATCCCTGTCCCTTTACAAATGTCCAGAAAATCCAGAAAAAACATCGGGATTATGAGAAAAGAAATGTTATTGTTGGTTTAATATATATATATTGTCTGTTTGACATTTGCTCCTTAGGAGAGCGAGTTTCTTCGCCTGTCGTCTGGATAAGCACCTGTACGTGATCGGAGGTCGAAACGAGGCGGGCTACCTCTCCAGCGTGGAGTCCTACAACCTGGAGACGAACGAGTGGAACTACGTTTCGTCTCTGCCGCAGCCGCTCGCCGCCCATGCAGGGGCCGTACATAATGGCAAGATCTACATTTCAGGTCAGGACAGCGGTTGTTCCTCACTCACAGTTATTGGTGTCGCCCTTGTCAAAAGTGATCCTGCATTTCACAGCCCACACCTGTGACTAAGAGCTGTGGCAGAGTGCTGTAACTATCATAACACCCAGTTGACTTTTAGATGGTTGTCTACTCAGCCCGCCCTTTAGTTTTTAAATGTTTTTCAGCCTGTGTTTTGGGTATGTGGTGGAAGAGTGGCAGGATTCCTACCTTTCATGCAAGTTTAAATCCAACTCGTCACTAAGTCCAGACCAGAGCAGGAGCTTTTCATTTACATGATGAATACGACTGCACTGCAAGAGAAAAAAACTATCAGTGTTTCTTCATTTTCTATTTAACATTAGGATCTGAAAAGATTGGACAATTCAAAATACAATGTAGAAATATTATTCTCTACAAAAGATTCTTAAAATGCAAAACAGGAAATATGGACATTTATTTATGTTATTCATGCAGGAATCTATTTATTAATATCTCCCTCTGTCAAGTGCTTATTATCATTGAATCACTGGTGAACTTTAGGATGTGAGTACTGTTCTGTACTGTTCACCATTGTATTGTAGTGAAAACAATGTACAACAAAAAAAAAAAAGAAAAAAAGTCTGCCAGCTCTGTGCTTCAATAGAGCTGGCAGGATGATTAACTGTGATGCACTGTTAAAGAAATGTTGAGCCTGCAACAAAAAAATGGATAAAATGAACCCAAATGAGTATTAAAACTACTGCTGTAGTGAAAAGTACACGATAAACACTCACATGATACACACACTCCTGTCGATATTTGTCATATATGTTAGCTCGTATGAAAGACCGACCACAGATGTACAGTACACGGTCAGACGGTCAGTCACAGTGTGTACCAACACCTACTGCATGTATTTAAACGCAGTATAAAAGACAGAATTTCGTGTTTGCTTTCCTGCAGGAGGAGTTCACAATGGGGAGTATGTGTCCTGGCTCTACTGTTACGACCCCGTAATGGATGTGTGGGCTCGGAAACAGGATATGAACACAAAGCGCGCTATTCATGCCCTGGCTGGAATGAATGACCGCCTGTATGCTATTGGTGGAAACCATTTGAAAGGTAAGTGCTGGAGCATTTGAGGAAATGAGCAGAGGAAAGGTCGTGATTGATTGTCTATTTTTTTCTTTTTTTTTGTTCCATAACTGTCTGTGTAACAGAGACGCTGCAGCTTCAGTATGAAACACATTGAGGTCGTTTGTTATGACATGTACAACATTGACACAACAGCTACTTCAATGTGGTATATGTATTTGTTTATAACTAAAAGATGAGGCGCAGACACTAAATTATTCTGAATATTCCAGAGGTTTTTTTTTTTTTTTTTTTTACTCGTTGGCCGCAAACTTAATTATTTCAACAACGTTCTCTCCCCTCCCTACATTTCCAGGTTTCTCTCATCTGGACGTGATGCTGGTGGAGTGCTATGACCCCAAAGCGGACCAGTGGAACATCCTGCAGACGCCCATCCTGGAGGGTCGCAGTGGTCCAGGCTGTGCTGTTCTGGACGACAGCATCTTCCTTGTGGGCGGTTACAGCTGGAGCATGGTACTATGGAGTTTTTTTTTTTCCGCTGATGTAATTAGATGGTTTTATATGGTGGTCACACATAAAGTTTACATAAGAAATGAACAAAGTTTCTGGGTGGCAAAGTTCAACCTAAAGAAGAGACGATTAGCACTAGCTGCTAGGACGACAGTTAGCCACTACTGTTTTAGACGTACAAGAGAGGTAGCAGTACTAACAGTAGCAGAGTAAAACACAGCTCCATGTGCACAAAGGTGTTTAAGGAGATAATTACACTCCCGACTTAAGGTCTTCTTAAGATTTTTTTTTTTATTTCTTATTTTATTGTGGATTATATGAAGGAGCAGCAGAGCAGCTAATTTATAGTGTTATTTAATTTTTCTTTTTCAAATAAATTCTAAATAACCAAACCTGTTTTTTCAGCTGTTACAAACATCAGTAAAAGTTGTGAGGAGAATGACTTTTCTTTTTACTTTGCTTTGTCTTTAGGGAGCCTACAAGTCATCGACCATCTGCTATAGCCCGGAGAAAGGAACATGGACAGAGTTGGAGGGAGAGGTGGCTGAGCCCTTGGCGGGCCCAGCCTGTTCCACCGTCATCCTGCCCGTCTGCCTCCCATTTAACAAATGACAACTAATCCAACCACTGGGTGTCCAGGATGAGGAGCAGGACAGAGACTGGGGGGAGGAGCCCGAATAAGCAAAACAGTTGTCAACAATTTTTCCAAATACCCTTTGGTGAGATTAAAGGGGGAAGTGTATAAATTATTTTTTTACTGGTTTGACCAAGAGCACTTTCGTTATTGTTTACTGGATGTTTGAAAAAAATGGAAAGAAAACAGTGTAACTCATGTATTTAAACTCATCTGTGTTATGAGAAATGGTCCGTTTCATATTTTGAGTTGATTTGATCTGATAGTAAGTGTTTTTTGGCTTCTCTTCTATAGCACGCATAGTGTTGAACTGCATTATAGCTTTTCAAACCCATTGTATCTTGTATTCAGTAGAGGCATATTTCCAGCAGAATACAGTGTTGATTCAAAGGCTGACACTGGGGAAAATATACTGGAGTGCAGTTGAACTGGGGCAGGGTGAAATACACGTTTTATAATGGTCAATGTGTAGAAATGTCAATGCTGGACCACATGTTCACTGGCAAAGTATCCGTCAATCACTGTCAGTCATTCCGCTGTCTTATTTGACTGTAAAAAACACTTGACAAAAACACACAGTGGAAGAGTGGTTAATGCTCTTACCTTACAATTCCTGGCTTTTCCTGAAAGAGTTTGTGTTTTTTCAAGTAGTTCTTTTTCTTATTCCAAAGTCCACAAACATGCAGATGTAGAGTCAGGATTTAGCCAGCGTTTGCCTGTTGACTGCTGGGATTGGCTGCTGCTCCAACCACTACAGAAAAAGGGCAGAGGCAGTAGAAAATTAATGGATGATTAAATTAATCATTTCTGCATTTTTATTTAATTCATCAACTGGCAATATTAAATCTCAACTGAACACATGAAACTCATGGAATGTCCCCTCTGGTGGACATTTTCTAAACTGGGAATCATGGGTAAAATCTGTAATCTTGATGTGTAGCCGCAGCTTACGACTCAAATCCTTCATTGTCTAAGTGAAAGAAATAATAGTATCTAAAAAATTACTATCCACTGATCATTATGAAAATGTGTCCTCATCACCCGGCCCTAATGTTGAACTAGTTATTAGTTATTAATTTCCACCCTGGTTAAAGCTGTGTTTCTGTATTACTTGTTGAACAGAGAGTTTCATACAGGTTAGCTGCTTTAAAAAAAGAAAAAGAAAAAAAAGAAAAGAAAAAGTTTCCGGTGTTTGTGGCAGCTACTCCTTATCCTGCTGCCTAAACAATTTAAGGGTGTACCATTGACTCCCGATGTTCACACGACGCACTAATGTTCACACTAATACTACAATGACGGTACAATCAAATTGTAATTTCTAACCAATGTGTTTATGAGTAACATGTTTGGGTAGACAGACGAAGGTGATGTTTGTTTGGGTTAATGTTGACGGACAGGTCTAGCTGTGTGGCGGTGTAGCATTAGCCTCACGGGACGTTAACTTAAAAACAGATCCTGAAATGCACTAAAAGTGAACTTTTTAATTCAGCAAACAAAGTTCGCGTAAAAATGTAAATGAATCTGTGTGATGTTTAAAAAAAGAATGAAAAAAAAACAACAAAAAAACAAGTCTATACAAATGAATCTAAGTCCAGTCTAGTCCACGCGGTATGCTTCAAAAAGTCGACTCTAAAAAGAAATAGATGCAGTACCTGTTGAATTCTGTACAGATTTGTTGATTTCATTCTTGTACATAAATGGCTTGCGGTGAAACATTTTTGTGCACTCGACCTTGGATTTATTCTCAAATCCTGTTATGTCATTTGAATTTTAGATTATGAAAATAAAACGACTCTTGATGATTATAATGTTTTTTGTGTGTGTTTGTTTTTATTAACTTGTGTCATTCAACGGGGGGCTCAAGTACAGGACCACACGCAAACAGAAAGAAGACACGAGCACACATGTCAGCAGAGAACAGTGAACCTCATACTGCAACAAACCCCATGGAATAAACAACAACACAACTACTAAACATAACTTCGATTTAAAAAAAAAAAAGACTCTTGGTGAAAATCAGAAATCAAACAACAGGGAAGAAGAGCTAGTGAGAGCAGTATATTTACTGACAGGAGGGCAGGACGCAGGTGGAGCACATCAGGTGATCACAGGAGAGGAAGAGGACGGAGGAGGCAGGTGGAAGGAGTGAGGTTAATTATAGAGAAGAAAGTCAGCAGGACAAGCCTTGTTCTCTATGTGCATGAATGTCAATGAAATAAAACAAAGATATATATATATATATATATATTCTCTTAAGTAAGCTCAATTAATCACGACCGATTGGAATAAAAACGTTCCTAATACTTCCTGTATTTCACCCTCTGCATTTAACCCATCACCAAAGTGAACAGTGGGCAGCCATGGTCAGCGCCCGGGGAGCAGTGCTTGAGGACGAGGCCATGCTCAGTGTATCTCAGTGGCAGAGGATTCAAACCTGGGGCCTTCTGGACCGAAGTCCGCTTCCTTTAGTTGGTGGATTCGAACCTGGGGCCTTCTGGACCGAAGTCCGCTGGTGTTAGTTGGTGGATTCGAACCTGGGGCCTTCTGGACCGAAGTCCGCCTCCTTCACCACTAGGCCACCACTGCCCCATTATTTGATGGAACTGTGGACAAGTGCATTTAGCTCAAATGTTAGCCTCATAAAGTCCTGATAGACTGATCAGCTCCTGATCAATGTCAGAAATGATGACGCAGCACTGTTCTCTCTCAGTCCAGTCGGTGAAACTCCAGCACTAATCTCTCAAACCTAAGCCAGTCACCATCCAGACTGGATCTTTTGTTTATCCTCGGGGCAGCCTCTCACTCCAGACCACATTTGATTTGCCAACCATTCACTACCAACTGTCTGCAGCACTAAACAACATGTTCAGCCCCCACGCCCCAAACTCTCACCAAACACAACCGTTCACCTGATGGTTTGATGGTCTGGTGTTCTTCGTTGTCCTTGAAGCCACAGTGTCTTCATTTATGACAAAAGAGAAAACTGTTATTTAATTACAGAGATTATTCTGTGATGACGGTAACAGTATGTGAGTGTTCATGTGGACAAACAAAATATAATATTATTAATATTATAAGAATATTATGTGGGTATAATGATTGAAGACTGACTTAAGGCTGCAGCCATACGAGGACAATGAACAGCAGAGTCATGATTAAGACAAACTTGTTTAAGGACTAAGATAAAGATGTGAGGTGAAAAAAAAACCCCAGCCTTAATATGAGCATCTGTGTGTGTCTCTCTCTCTGTGTGTGTGTGTGTGTGTATTTGAAGAATTCATTTACCTTTTATCGTTGGTGGCAGCAGATGGTTTCCACGCTGCCATCCGTCCCTCGGCTTTCTCTTCCTCCAGAGCTCAGGGAATTAACAAGATTGGTTAACAGGAACTCATGTGACCTTTAATAAACAAAAATAACTACACACATATGTCAAATGTCATCTGACCTTGACCTTGACCTCAAAATGTGGATCAGCAATTTTCTTTCAGTGATTTTGAAGACCTAATGTGTTGAAACCTCTAAAAGTTTTTAGGGATCTGTAGCAGATGTGTGTGAAGCTGGAAGAGGAGAGGAAACAGCAGCTGAGTCAGGTGGTCTTTTACTGAGGGTAAATAAAATAAGGAAAGGAGTCTAAGACCATTAAGAAAGAGATGGAACATCTGTAAGTAGAAGAGATGTTAGGTGAAGTTTAGTTTGTAAATATAAATAATATCTCTCTCCTCTCCTCTCCTCTCCTTGGCAGCTCCCTCAGCAGCAGCAGGTAACATGGCCTTAGTCCACCATCTAGTGGTCACAGCATCTGGTGTCCACACGCACAGCCACACACACACATAATAACACACACACACACACACACACTTGCAGCAGACCTGTTGCATTTTTTTTCTATTCTTACTTTATTTTATAAAATAAAGCCATTGGCCATTCACAGTGAGCCAAATCGCACGGTGACTCATGATGTGCCAGAGTGAGGATAATCACTATGCCTCTCTCTCCTGGTCCACATGCCTGTTTACGTTCCTGTGAGCCACACTCTTCTGGCTCCCAGCCGCCCAGTGGTATTTATAGCCATACAGAGGCAACCATCACTCAAGGAATCCGCAGCTTATCGTCCCCGGTCCGGTCTGAGTGACAGGGCGGCGTGTAGGATCTACAGGTTCCTGTGTCTGTGGCGATGGAGGAGCGCGCCTCTGCAGAAGGTAATGCTGACAGATCCATTAATCATCTCATTATTTCTTTCATTCTTCTGCTTCCTGTAGCTACCTGTGCACGGCAACGAGATTGCATTTTAATCATGTCTTTACTTGTTGTTCTTGTTGTTGTTTTGCGTCTTACATTCGTTGTGCAACAAGCACTTTTAACAGTGGGGAATATGGAACTGCGTCCTCCAATTAGCATGAGTTGTTTCAGTGAGTCTAATTAAAGCTGAGGAGATCACAGACAGGAGGTGCACAGAGGAGGAATTTGAATTTTAAAAAGGACAAAAAAACCCTCAAATGATTTAACTTATTTTAGAATTCTATTTAAGAATTCTGCAGACAAGTTCATCCTTTTTTACTCTAAATGAAGTCGCGTGTTGATTCACTTATTTTTTTAATTGGTCAACCACACGTCATTACTCCAGCTTGTTGTCATCCCTGTGATGAAGATTCATCGTTTTTTTCTCTTTTTCCCCACAACTCAGTCTGCGTTTTTGTGCGTAAAAAGCCATTTCTGATGAACTGTGCTCCGATGAGCATCTGTGTGTCTCTCTCTCTGTGTGTGTGTGTGTGTGTATTTGAAGTCTTCATTTACCTTTTATCGTTGGTGGCAGCAGATGGTTTCCACGCTGCCATCCGTCCCTCGGCTTTCTCTTCCTCCAGAGCTCAGGGAATTAACAAGATTGGTTAACAGGAACTCATGTGACCTTTAATAAACAAAAATAACTACACACATATGTCAAATGTCATCTGACCTTGACCTTGACCTCAAAATGTGGATCAGCAATTTTCTTTCAGTGATTTTGAAGACCTAATGTGTTGAAACCTCTAAAAGTTTTTAGGGATCTGTAGCAGATGTGTGTGAAGCTGGAAGAGGAGAGGAAACAGCAGCTGAGTCAGGTGGTCTTTTACTGAGGGTAAATAAAATAAGGAAAGGAGTCTAAGACCATTAAGAAAGAGATGGAACATCTGTAAGTAGAAGAGATGTTAGGTGAAGTTTAGTTTGTAAATATAAATAATATCTCTCTCCTCTCCTCTCCTCTCCTTGGCAGCTCCCTCAGCAGCAGCAGGTAACATGGCCTTAGTCCACCATCTAGTGGTCACAGCATCTGGTGTCCACACGCACAGCCACACACACACATAATAACACACACACACACACACACACTTGCAGCAGACCTGTTGCATTTTTTTTCTATTCTTACTTTATTTTATAAAATAAAGCCATTGGCCATTCACAGTGAGCCAAATCGCACGGTGACTCATGATGTGCCAGAGTGAGGATAATCACTATGCCTCTCTCTCCTGGTCCACATGCCTGTTTACGTTCCTGTGAGCCACACTCTTCTGGCTCCCAGCCGCCCAGTGGTATTTATAGCCATACAGAGGCAACCATCACTCAAGGAATCCGCAGCTTATCGTCCCCGGTCCGGTCTGAGTGACAGGGCGGCGTGTAGGATCTACAGGTTCCTGTGTCTGTGGCGATGGAGGAGCGCGCCTCTGCAGAAGGTAATGCTGACAGATCCATTAATCATCTCATTATTTCTTTCATTCTTCTGCTTCCTGTAACTACCTGTGCACTGCAACGAGATTGCATTTTAATCATGTCTTTACTTGTTGTTCTTGTTGTTGTTTTGCGTCTTACATTCGTTGTGCAACAAGCACTTTTAACAGTGGGGAATATGGAACTGCGTCCTCCAATTAGCATGAGTTGTTTCAGTGAGTCTAATTAAAGCTGAGGAGATCACAGACAGGAGGTGCACAGAGGAGGAATTTGAATTTTAAAAAGGACAAAAAAACCCTCAAATGATTTAACTTATTTTAGAATTCTATTTAAGAATTCTGCAGACAAGTTCATCCTTTTTTACTCTAAATGAAGTCGCGTGTTGATTCACTTATTTTTTTAATTGGTCAACCACACGTCATTACTCCAGCTTGTTGTCATCCCTGTGATGAAGATTCATCGTTTTTTTCTCTTTTTCCCCACAACTCAGTCTGCGTTTTTGTGCGTAAAAAGCCATTTCTGATGAACTGTGCCGCGGTGACAGACAGCAGGAGCCGCGGGGAGCCACCCGCGTAAATGTGCGCACTGACCCTGCTCCTCCTGAGCTGCAGTACAGGGCTGAACTGAGTCTGTGTCAGGTTCAGATGTGAGGATT